TCACACGCAAAGAAATAGCTGAGGGCATCGCGAGAGGCCCATTCACCAAACAGGAGCTTGACGCTCAGTACGGTAGAGGTGCATGGCTAGCCATGCCAAGATTCGCTCATGTGCAAGGCTGTGGAAAGGTCAGACCCATTGATAATGGCAAGGCCGCGGGGCACAACAGCTTCAGCTGGTCAGATGAGACGATATACACTTCATCCCCAGATGCAGTGGCAGGTGCTGCCCGCAAATTCGCCAAGCTCATGGAGAGTGAAGGCATGCCACCATGGTGCCAACTTGTTTTCGGCTCTGACGACATGTCGTCTGCATACCGACAGGTCCCCAACTGTCCGGATGAAGCCCAGGGCTTAGTTGTAGCATGGTGGGATGTTCAGGTTGGCGGTGTTCTGTATGCTGTTCTCAACGGCCATCCGTATGGCCTTGCAACCGCAGTTGTCAACTTCTGTCGCATTCCCGCCTTGACGACGGCTGTTTGTCGTAGACTACTCGCCATTGCGGCGGTTTCGTATTTCGACGACACGGGCACACTCGACACTGTAGCAGCAGCTGGATCAGGTCAGGAAGGAGTGGCCCTGGTGCACAGCTTGTGCGGATTCCGTCTGGACCCCGGGAAGCAGCAGCCCATGGCAGTTCAGAGGTTGTTTTTAGGCGTGCTCTTGGATTTTTCGCAGATGCGGGAGAATGGGTTGATGAGCATAGACCTCAAACCCGGAGCGAGAGAGCAACTGGCTGCTGAGGCCAATGCATTGCTGGAGCTTGGAGTTTGTTCACCAGCGCAGGCAGCCAAATTGAGGGGTAAATTCTCGTGGTCGTCATCTGCTGTATTTGGGAGGATAGGTAGAGGGGGCCAAGGTGCTTTAGTGGATCGTCAGTACAAGGAGCCAGATTGCGGGATTACCCCGGTCCTTGAACGATCACTTAAATTCCTTGCAGCCCTGACACAGTGGGTGCCTGCGCGCACCATTCCTCTGCTGAGCCTGCCAAGAAGACCAGCAATTGTATACACAGATGCTAGCTGGCAGCCAGAACTCGGTGCAGCGCCAGGCCTTGGTGGAGTGCTCTTTATGCCGGGTGCACAGACAAAAGGGTTTGCCACGACTGTGCCACAAGAAGTGATTCAGGCTTTCCTCCCCCGTGAAACCCAGATTAGCCCCTTGGAGGCCCTGGCGGTTTTACAGATGACACTGCTTTTCCAGCAGGACCTGGCAAATCGGGATGTGATTTGGTGGGTTGACAATACTAGTGTGTGCAGTGGTCTCATCAAAGGCGCATCCACCGCATCAGACTTGGCACAACTCACGCTTGTCATCAACCTTCTGTGGGCATCCATGGGGTGCAGAGTCTATGTAGACTACGTACCTTCTGATAGTAATGTTGCCGACGGTTTGAGTCGTGATGGAATGCAGGATTCCTGGACGCAGGCGCAGCAGTGGGGTTTGCAGCAGGCACATTGCGTGCCGTGGCACCTTTACAGTAAGGACCCATTGCATTTCGTTCCGGTCAGGCTGTTTCGTTGGAGCTCGTCTTGACTGCTTTGTTTCATTGGAGGCACCGGGCTATTCAAGCACCC